AGGAATGCAGGGTGTTTTTGACCTGTGGCAGGACTTGGTGAGCTCCTAGTGTGTCTTTGAATCCCCAGGGCCTGGTGCACAAAAGGTGTTCAGGTTGTTTGTTGAAAGAACTATGAATTCCGAGGAAATACAGCATGAGCAAAAGTGTGGAGGCAGGAAAGTGAGCCTGGGTTGAGCCACAGTGGTGCTGGTGTGGAACAGGCACACAAGGGGCCCGAGGGAGGTCACTCCTCCATCCCAGCCCCCACCCCACCACCCTGTCACGGCACATGACTGAGGACTGAGGGGCTCTCTCAGCCCTCAGTGGCCAACGTAAAGAACGCCTCTGAGCCGCCACCTTGGTCTGAGCTACACACCATCTCTTGCCTGGATTATTGCAGAAGCCTCCTAACGGGTCTCCCTTCCACTGCCCCCTCCCCCAGTAATCTTGTTGTCACCATAGCAGCCCAAGTGATCCCGTAAAATCCTGAGTCAGACCTGTCTCTCCTCTGCCCTGCACCCACCAGGGTGAGAGCCTGAGTCTTTTGGTGCCTGCTGAGGCCCCCCATGATCTGCTCCTTCCAGCTTCGTCTCCTCGGCTTCTCCCCTCTCTGTCCAACCACTTTCTGTTCTTCAAGCACATTAGTCGCACTTCTGCTTCAGAGCCTTTGCACTGGCTGTTCCCTCTACCCAGAATGCTCTTCTCCCACAGTGTCACACTCTCTCCCTCCAGTCTTTGCTCAGAATTCATTTCAGTGAGGCCTTCTCAGAGCCTTCTGTTTGGAATTGCAACCCTCCCCCCGGCATCTCTCATTTCTGTTTACTATTCTCTTTTTCTCCATAAAATGACCACCCTCTGAAATACCGTTTACCTTGTGTACCATCTCTCTTCCCACGGAATGGAAGTTCCATGAGGGCAGGACTTTTTGTCTGTTCTGTTTCCTGCTCTGTGCTCTTGAACCTAGAACAGTGGCTGACACACACACAGTAAGTGCCCAGGCCACCTTTGTTGAGTAAATCACTTGAGCAGGTGGAACTAAGGGGGACTTTGAGCAGGATCTGTGTGGAGTGTGGTTTTGACAGAAGAGCCCAGGCTGTTGCAGCAACCTGGGGAAGGGACGACGGGGCCTTTGGCAGGGCCATGGGAGGTGGGAGTGGAGTGGGGAGATGTCAGGAAGGGACCCAGAAGGCTTCCAGGGAGTGAATCTGAAATGATGCCACCCTGCCTGCCACCCACAGCTGAGTTCCAGAAGCGAGAGCGTCGAGGTTACCTCGGAGTAAACCTGAGGTTTATGACTAGTGCAAGAAGCACCGTGGCCGAGTCCGTTACCCAGCAGGTTCGTCAGGGGGATGGGCTGTGGGAAGGAGCCTGGGGGGTGAGAACTGAGGCTGTTCCTGGGATCTGTGGGAGTCTCAGCCCTGAGCATAGGCTGGAGGGTGGAGCCCCCTCCAGGCTCCTAAGAGCTGGACACCCCGCTGTGCTGTGAGGGGCCTCCCCCTGGAGGGCTGAGAGCAGTGAGGGGAAGGTGGGAGGCTGGGCCTGGCCTTGCTTCCCTGGGACCCCTGTGGGCCTCCGCTGGCTCCTCTGTAAATGGAAACCACATGCCCTGCCTCCCGGGACGGTGTGAGGGCTAGGTGAGAGGGTGGCACTTGGTCGGGTGCACCAGGTTGTGTGGCTGCAAGTGGCTGGGAGTCCCCACCCAGGGCTCCTGACTCTCACACCCCCCCAGATTGTGCGCCAGGACCGGGGCCGCAAGGCCTGTGACCGGCCTGTGGGCAAGACTAAGAAGAAGAAGGCGGCCCAGGGCACCGTGTTCACCGAGGAGGACTTCCAGAGGTTCCAGCAGGAGTACTTCGGCAGCTAGGCTCCTGGGAGGGCACAGCCGCCTCGGACCTCTCAGCCCGGCTCAGGAAAGCCGTGCAGTGGAGGCTGGCATGGAGCTGGCGAGCTGGAAGCCCAGGGGAGAACCTTCGCTCAGACCCAAACTGACACCTGCAGGCTCGGGAGGTGCCACCTGCCCGCTGAAAAGGAAACATTGGACTGTTTTGTCTGCTTTGGCCCAGGGAGGGCCTCGGGGCTGTTTGCTGTGGCAGGCCTGTCACTGGGCCCTTGGGGACCACACCTCTGATAGGACGAGGGCCTCTGGGTGGGCTTCCAGGTTCTAATAAACGTGGCCCAGGGGCTGTGTGTGCTGCTCTAACAGGGTGTCTCCCACCTCCTCTGGCACCGAGGAGCCTTCCCTCCCTCCCCCACCTCCCAGCTGGTTCTTAGGGCTCCAGGTCAGAAGTCTTGCAGCCCAGCCCCAGTGCAGGCACCACCGGAGAGCAGTTCACCCATCTGCAGACCCCGCAGGCCTCCTTTCCCTGGGGTGGCAGACCCAGCTGAAAAGGCAGCTCTTGAGGAAGCTGAGGGAGGGAGCATGGCTGCCTCAGCCCAGTGCCCAGGGCTTGTGCCCTTGTGTGATTTTTTTTGGGGGGGGGGCACATCTGTTACATATCTGCAAATAGAAGGGGGGCGGGATCAAAGCCCACTTTTTGTTTCTCTTACCTCTGTCACAGGAGGTGGGGACTAGTGGGGTGACTCAGGAGTGAGCTCAAGAAAGAGGGTTTTACACGCAGGTCTGCCGAGCAGAAGGGTGGTGCCGGGCCCAGAGCTGCACCACCAGGGGAGGCCGGGCCGTGTCCGGCAGGGGCAGCGCAGGGCAGGTGCTGTTGAACAGATGCCCGAGTGAGCGGGTGGTGCTGCCCAGCTGGGTCTTCAGTGTGGCACTGATGACAAGTCCTAGAGCCCAGGGGTCCCTTCTGGGGAGGGGCCGCTGGAGGCCTCCAGGCGGCTCCGTCTGGCTTGCCTAGTGCCACCCCCTGCACGCCTAAAGGCTCCTTGGGACACGTGTTGTCTGGTAGAGGGCTTCTGAAGGGACCCTGCCGTGGGTTCTTCTGTGCAAGAGGAGGGAAAGTTTTACCCCTCACACAGCCAGACCCCGGCAGGGCTGTTCCTGGTTACTAGCCAGCTTTCCATCCCAAGTGGGGACAGGAGGGGACCACAGAATTGCCTGAGGCAGAGTTGGCACCTGTCCTGTCTGCAGTGCAGGTGGCCTCCCAGAGTAGGAAGCAGAGCAGCCATCCAGGAAGTCAAGGTGGGCAGAAGAGGTGTCGTGACTCCAAACCGGTATTGCGCCACCGTCCGCAGATGGCTTTTGTTCCAAGAAGGGAGAGGGGGCGTTTTCCCAAGCTCTCCTGCCTGCTGGGCTTCAGTGACCCGTGAGGAGACACTCCAGTGTCCTTGGAGGCTCATTCCCTTCCTCTTTTAAGCAGCTTAGCAATCAGGAGCCTCAGCTTCTCGCTCTCTCACCAGAAGTTCTCTGAAGAACCGGCTGACCAGGGCCCCTTTCTAACGGGCACGCACCTGCTGTTATGTCATCACGAACAGGTTCCTGCCCCCTCCCCAGGTGTAGAATGAGGGGCCTGCCTCTGCAGGAGGGTGACAGCAGGGGTCCTGCGCTTCTCGGCTTGTGAGTTTCCAGTTAAGTCTTAATGTTTGTGCCAAGTAGCGCCAGTGGGTGTGTGTCCGTGACCCCAAGGCATGACTGACGTTAGTGTTCACCTGAGACACCGGTCCTATGGGTCGGGGTGGAGCCCCACAATCTAGTTAACAGTCACCCTGGACGGCTCCGTTGCAGGTGGTGTGAAGGCAACGAGTGGGGGCCCTGGGGAGGCGGGTGCTGGCGGTGGAGAAAGGATGTGCCACCAGGGAGGGGTGCCGGTGCAAGAGCCACACATGGGGGTGCTGACCATGAGCCGCGGACTGGGTGACTGACAATCTTTTGGGATAAGGGACAGGAACCAAGTAAGAGGACACTGTGGTGCCACATCGAGGGCTGGGAGGAAGAGGCCTTCCCTGATGGGGCAGCTCTATCACTGGTGGTTTGGAGGAGCTGACACAATTGCCTAGAGGAGACCCAGGAGGGCAGGACTGCCACGTGGGACCTCCACCAGGGTGTGAGTGTATGACGCTTAACAAGTTCCTGCAGGAGCTGGGCGGATCCCCATCAGGTGACATCTAACACAGCTGGGGCTAGGGAGCTCTCTTAGATGTGGGTGGGACCCTGTGCCCATTCCTCTGAGGCTTTTTCTCAGGGTGCTCTCCCCATTCTACGTCCACAACTTTCCCCCGTCCTTCGAAGCCCAGCTCAGGGCAGTTAAGACCTCGAAGATCACCAGGTCCAAGGTCCACATGTGACAGCTCCCTTGGTGCCTTGGGGAAGCATTCCCATCTGGGCCACCATTACTTCTCCCACATTATCCTGTTAGGCATCAGGAAGCAGGTCAGGGAAATATCAGCCCCACCACAGGAGGCAAAACAGGCAAAAGCCCATAACCCTGGGTTCGAATAGCAGGCTCTGCAACTCCTCCAAATACCCTCTATCGTAGGACCTGTGTGCCTGGTGCCACATTTCCATCACCCTCATCCCAGCCACTCATCTACTTTCACAATGGAAAAATGGTCCTCCCTCAGCAGACCCTAAAGGACCCAAGGAGAGAAGAAACCTGCGCCGGCCGGGCCCAGACTCTTGTACTCAACAAAAGATGTCGTCTCCCTTATCTTGCAGTAAGTTACCAGCCAGGCCTGCAGTAATGCAGCGTAGCTCCAGTGCCCTTCCATCCCGACATCAGGGATGGCAGGCCTTCCAGCTCGCCAAAGGTGCCAGCCAGGGAAGCAGCCTTGTTCTAGCAAAAACTGAGAAGCCATCTTTCCCTGAATAGACCCTTCTGGGAAGGCCTCTACAGAACTGCAGCAGCTTAGCAGTGAAACCTAATCCCCTTGTGTGCCCAGCTCAAAGACCGTGGGGCCTTATCTGGGTACTTAATGTCGGCACAAAGCAACAATCATGAGGGAACAGGTGGAGCCCAGGCTCCACTTCTCTGCCACCCTGCTCCTTACTAAATTACTTACTAAAATTCCCCAGCCTCACTCACACCCAAGGGTGGTTAACATCGAGTCAAACAGTTTTTGGTTCTGGGGAAATCACCCAGCCACCTACTAGGGGATATCTAGCCCAACTCCCTGTCTCAGGGGTCCAACTGATCATCAGTGACCCTGACATACAGCCCAACAGTGTCAGAAAAAAAAAAAAACACCTCACTCTGGGCTTAAATTCCAAGTCCCGATGACCAACCCCAAAGCAAAATGCCGCTTCTGGGGATTTACTGGGCTCTTTACCAGAGGCAAGAAACCAGACACAGCAGTCTGCAGAAGAACTTTCACTACAAAATAATTTATTAAAACACAGCTTCAGCACTGGCCTCCTAGGCACAGGCACACACCCTCCTGACTACCCTATGGCTAGATCCTCCTCTTCCCCCTTGCCTTGCGGACCTCTTCTATTAAATCTTTCAGATACTGGATCTCCTTGGCCAAGGAAGCTGCCTTCTCTTTCAGAGCCTCGTTCTTCTGTTCTAGCTCTTTACATTCACCAGTGAGGGCCTCCTGCTCTGCCCTCTTCTTCTGGCGGTACCTAGTGGCTGCTGTCTTGTTCTGCTCCATTTTCTTCAGTTTCTTATCTAGTTTCTCACCCTTTACTTTTGCTGCTATCATCTTCTCTCCAGGAGGGTCATAGGGCTTGGGGCGGGCAGAGCCACCAGGGGCACCTGGAGATAGCAGGCTTCTATTTGGAGAACCCCTGGAGGTAGAGGGGCTGTGCTGGGGAGAGCCCAGATAGGAGTCAGGGCTCATACAGATGCCACTATCATTATCTGAGGGGGCATCCTCTTCCTTTACGCGCTGAGGGATCAGCATAACGTAAGCAGTGGAGTCTGGCTTCCTATCTTCTTCAGACATCACTTCACTGCATAGCTCTAAAGTAAAAGAATGATCTGGAGTGGAGAACAGGGCCCCTGGGGAGAGGGGGAGAGGCTGCAAGAAAGTGAAAGGGGCACCCTGGTCAGTTGTTGGCAAACTTTCTGGAACATGGCCTATTGGGTTCACGATCTGGGGGGGCTCCTTAGTAGCCTCCTGGAGTAGGGGGTCAAAGAGATCACACGTGTCATCCAACGTGGCCAAAAGCTCATCTGGCATGGTTTCCAGATCATCTATACCCAACAGAGCATTAAAATCAAACTCCTTCAGATCCATTTTCTCCACCATCCAATCTGTCCCAGAGAAAGCATCCTCTGCAAAAAATTAAAGAGAGTTGGAACCAATGAGTCCAATGTACAAGACAATCACCAGATCCCACCAGCAGATAAAAGACGCCCACTCACCCTTGCCGTTATCTGAGGCACTGACCAACCCATCCATAGCCAGCCATTCGGAGATGCCCGCCTTAGCCTTGTCGCCAGAGAACCCATGAGGTTTGAAGTGCTTGGCCACCTCCAGGTAGTCATCTAGGAGACCCAGGCTCTCTTCAGCCCCCAAACCCGACTGGTCGAAGGGGGACATGAAGTCCACCACCAACACCTCGCTGCTCAGGAAGCTCTTCTCGGCCATGTTGCGAGGTTTTGGTTGAATCGAGGAATGTGCTTAATTCGAAGGTGTCTTTGTCGGTTACAGCAACGCTGCTGCTGAATGCCTTGAAAAGCCTGAATACGAATCAGAAACCAAGTCCCATTAAAGATCAGCTGGCCTGAGAATTTCATCTTTTCATCCATGAGGCAAGATGGCCAAAATAGAACTCCACTCGGGGTTGAGAATCGGTACCACATGGCCCCAGGGCCATCGCGTCACCACCGCGTCCATCAAGCTGCACAAAATGGACGCCCGCCCGTTCCCCCACCGGCCAGAAGAGGAAGCCGCCCCACCCGCACGTCCAAATCCGCCTCTGGACGCCCGGCCCCGCCCACGCCCCCCGTGACTCACGCGGCGGCTACCGCCGCCGCCCTGC